TCAATTCTACGGGCCGACACAGGTACTGTACACAGGTAAGGTTGGGGTCTAGGGATCGAACCCTGGGATCTGCAGCAGCTACTGCTAACTGGTGAATACCGTTTCACTCCCGCCGTCATAAATTCGTGGTCCTCCGAGAATAATTCAGTCCAAGGTAGGACTTTTACTTTTCTGTTCTCTCTCATAGGCTCTAACTATATCGGGAGCTGTCTCTAGAAGTTCTGATCTCGTAAACCAGCGGTCATCCTCCGGTTCCTGATATGCAAAGCGGACCTTGTACTGTTTCTGTGGACGACCTCTACCTCCTGTTCTAAACACATCCTCGTCTACAATGCCCTCTATGTCATAGCTCCCATCCATATCCGGAGGGATCATGGATCTTCTAGAAGGGAACTGTTGGCTTGTAACACATGGCAACAACTTTGAAGCATGGAACACAGGATATGTGTGGAGGTGTACTGGGATCTCTATAGTGTATGATGGTCCATCCTCTCTGCCCTGGACTTCTAGAACCGGCCACGGTCCCCTATATGCAGGCAGTAACTTCTGTGAGATGTTTTCTTAAGGCGCAAACTCCTTTGCCTTTACCTAGACTAAGTCGCCTACTTGAAACTGTGATGGGTGACGGTGCTTGTTAGCCTGTTCTATCATCCTATGTTGGGCCTTTCTAAGGTTCTCAACAACAGTTGCTCATTCTTTCTCGTGTTGCATCGCAAACTCCCTGGTATCGGGCGGTAGTCTATGAATCTGATTCCGGTTTAGTCCTTCGAACGGTCTGCATGGTCTAAAGGACTTGTGCAACTCATTGGGAGTGCGGCAGGTGGATAGATGCAGGCTGTTGTTGTAGGCACTAGCTACCTTAGGCAACATCTCATCCCAGTTGATCTGATCTGGTCTAATGTACATGTGCAGAACTTGCTGTAGGATCTTGTTCATCTGTTCTGTTTGGCCGTTGGTCTTTGGATGACGGCCAGATGACATTAACAACTTAGATCCGTACGCTCTCATGAGTTCTTGCCAGTTCTGGCTGGTGAAGCGACTATCTCTATCGCTGACTATTGACAATGGGATTCCGTTCTCACTAACCCAAAAGTCAAAGAACTTCTGTGTCACTAAGTCTGTACGTGCCTCTGCAGGCAAAGGAACAAAAACTGCATACTTACTAAACCGGTCAACTATGACCATGACTTGGCTCTTGCCATGTCTACTCTTGACTTGGGTGTCCATAAAGTCTATGGACACTAAGCCTCCCGGCTGATCCGGAATAGGCAAGGGTCTGAGAAGACCTAGGGGCGCGCGCGTAGTAGTTTTATTACGCTGGCATACTTTGCAACTGCGGACATACTCTATGCAGTCATTCTTCATTCCTGGCCTGGTGTACACACACATCAGGTTGGCTAAGGTCTTTTGCCAACCGAAATGTCCCTCAGTATCGTGGCATTCCCCTAAAATCAGACTGCGGATCTCCTCGCTACTGGGAATGCACAGACGGTCAAACACATTAGTCTTCTCAAACAGCAACCCGTCTGTAGTGCGGTAATCTGGCTCAGTCTCTGGGGCCTCTCTAACTCTCTTTAGGAGGTCGCTATAGATAGGGGCCTGTGCATATGCTTGCTTCACTTTCTCCTGCAGGTCTCTCCCTATATCCAGATAGTGTACTATAGCTCCAAAGTAGTCTGATCTTCTACTTAGAGCATCCGCAACTACGTTGTACTTGCCCTTCACTGGCTTAAGCTCGAAGTCATATTGGTCGATCCCTACGGCCCACCTAGTCAACTTAGGTGTCATCTTGGCCTGGGTCTTTGACCATCTAAGAGTTTCGTGGTCTGAGTATACTTTGAAGTGCCTCCCAAGCAGATAATGCTTCCAGTGTTCTAAAGCCTGCCTAAGAGCGTAGAGTTCCCTCTCATACGTCGAGGTGGCTACCTTCTCTGAGGGCATCCTCGCTGACATGAACTCTACGGGTCTATAACCATTGCCGTCATCTTGCTGCAACACGGCGCCTATCCCATACTGACTYGYGTCCRTGGTGACGACAAATGGCAACGACGGATCTGCAACTTTRAGGACAGGGTACTCTATTAACGCGCGCTTTAACTTCTTGAGCGCAGACGTACAATCTCTATCCCATTGCCAGATTGCCTCTTTCTTAAGCAACCTGCGCAAGGGAGCGGCGATAGTAGAAAAGTTCCTGACGAACTTTCTATAGTAATTGGCTAGGCCTAGGAACGACCGCAACTCTGTCAATGTGCGGGGCGTCGGCCAATCTCTAATTGCCGCGATCTTGCTGTCCTCTGGCTTAATGCCGTCTCCATCTAATACGTGGCCCAAGTACAAGACTTGCGTCTTGGCCCACTCGCACTTCTTCGCGTTGATCTTGAAGTTTGACTCTCTCAACTTCTCCAAGACCTGCCTCAGATGACCCTGATGCTCCTGGAGGGTCTTACTGAAAACTAAGATGTCATCTAGATAAACTACGACAAATCTATCCAACCAGGGTCTAAACAAATCATTCATGCAATGCTGAAACGTAGCTGGCGCATTGGTTAGTCCAAAGGGCATCACTATGAATTCATAGTGCCCATACCTAGTTTGGAAGGTAGTCTTGTACTGATCATCAGGATGGACTTCTATCTGATGATAACCGGACTTTAAATCAATCTAACTTACAACCCTGCACCCGATCTAGAAGATCGTCTATCCTGGGCAGCGGTTCAGCATTCTTCACAGTAATCGCATTCAAACCCCTATAGTCTATACACATACGAAGCTCTCCTTCCTTCTTTGGGATAAACAGGACGGGTGCTCCAAAAGGAGACGAGCTGGGCCTGATCCAACCTTTTTCGAGGAGCTCGTCTAACTGCTTGCGAAGCTCCTCTAACTCTCTAGGGGACATCCTGTAGACTGCACCTTTAGGAGTTCTACTGCCAGGCTCTTTCTCTATCCTGTGCTGGATGGGTCGCGGCACTACTCCTGTCGGCGACTCAGTCAAATCTTTAAACTCTTCCAGCAGCTTGGCAATTGTTGGATCTGTGGAAGTGACCTCTTCCTTAGCCTCAGTGACAGGTCTGACATAAACTACGAAGACCTGTTCCTCTAATCGCTCCTTCTTCACTAAGCGCGCGAACGCGGGAGCACTGAGACAACAATGTGCCAAGGTGTTGTCTACACCTGACACATGAAACAGGCGGGCAGTCTTAACCTCGCCTGGCGGGCTAGGGAGCCTACACTCATGCTCTCTCAAATGAAGTGTGGCCCCTGCTGCCTCTCCCCAATCCATTCCTAGTACTACATCAAAAGGAAGGTCATCCTGTACGAGGAGAGTCAGGGAATGGAGAACTTTCTCCACCTTCCCATCTTTTTCTAGGCGAAAGTACGCCTGGACTCCCTCTACGTAGTCCTCAACTTGCATCGTGCGGTTGTCTGCGAGGACACTGACTATAGGGTCTGCTAATTTCTGGACTTTTAGTCCCAGCTTCAGCTTCTTCAGCACCCTACGGCTAATATAACTACGGGTGGCCCCTGAATCTATAAGGGCCCCTACTCTACTCCTGAAAACTTCTACACATGGCCTTGAAGTAGGGGCAGTTGCGACCCATACTGGCGGCTGCCTTTTGACTGTTGGGCAGCCCAATGGGCCTGTCTATACTTTGGACAAAATTTTATTACGTGGGCCGGGTCACCACAAAACACGCACTGACCCAGGTTCACGCGTTCCTGCCATAACCCCTGGTCCAAGCCCAAGTCTTCCCAGGGCCTGCCCTGTGGCAAGCCTGGGTGCCATCCTCCTTGAGGTACCCTTCCACCTCGTCTCTGTGGGGACCGATTACCATGGTGATTTGGCGGGGGACCTTGACCCCTACCTCCCGCTTGGCGGTTTCCTTGGCCGCCAACCCCCTGTGCGCCCGGTCCTCGACCTCCCATGGCCTGGCCCCTTTGGCCCTGGCCTCCTTCTCTACCTTGCGGCCTCCCTCCAGCCGCGACAGCAGCATAGGACCTCCCCTGTCCCACGCTACTATCCTCTTCCTCTAGGCCCCACTCAATCTGACAATATGGGACCTCATCAGTACCACCTTCCTCTAACGTCAGGATCATGTGATCCTTGGCCTTGACTTGGTCGGAGATGGTACGTCCTTTCCACCTTTTCCCTTTTTTTAGGTCCTTATGCCAGAAAGTGGTAACTGGCATGGACTTTGACTCATACAGGACGACTTCTCTACTTAATGCATCATACGTGATGCCAGCCTGTTGAGACTTATCAAAGAAATGCCCACGCAGGGCCTCTGGTATGGCACGATAGAATAACTAGACCAACTGGGTCTCAGTGACCCCATGGTCTGGGACGGCCACCAGGTCGTCCATGGTTCCCTTGAGTGCCCTTGCACTCCTCCACTGTCGTGAGTGGATTGTTTGTAACTTGTCAGAGGCACGAATGCCTCTCGTTGGGTCTGCAAATCGCTCCTTCAGGAGCTTGAGGAATTGAGGAACGGGGGTAACTTTAGAGTAAGCAACCAGGTTGTTTTCACAACCGGCTGCGCGCGCAAGAGACCTGGCGAAACTAGCCGCTTCATCTTTGAGGGCCTGAAAGGCCACGAGGACTTACTCATCTGTCAGGATATGCTGTAGATAAATATAACTATTGACACTGGCTTCCCAGTTGTCAAAGTTCTCCTCTTTCTTTCCCCCGTATGCATCTGGAAACTTAAGTTTAACCGGGTCCTTGCGGGGTCTGGCCTCGCCCTCTACAGCGGCTATGGCTTTGTCACCCTCAATGGTGCCCTCACAGAACTTCCTACGTTGTCCCTTAATTGCTTTACTTCTCCCCCAATGTGGGTGACGATCTCGCGCGCAAACTCCCTAAACCCTGACCGCATGGCACTCAAGGCTACACTCCTGGCTCCAACTTGCCTGGCGCTCCTCCATCCAGGCCTTGCTCAACACCTCCAGGTAACCCAATATCTTGTCCCACTTGGCCTTGTCATCAGGCTGGGCCAATACTTCCTTTCTACATTCCTACACCTGTGCCACGGCTGCGGTCATTTTATTCACTTCTTCTCGCCTCCTCCTCTTCTCCCTCTTCATTCTCAACTTCCATTGTAGCTTCTGCTCGTCTTCCCTCTCTCTTCGTTCCATAGGGCCCGCCATGGCTGCCAGCTCAGCGGCCAGTGCGGCCTTCTCATCCTCCGTCACATACGACTCCGCCTCCTCATCTTCTCCCAACGATAACTTAGCAACCCACTCGCTGATATTCTTCTCAATCTCAGCGTCTGTGTCCCTCTTCGTGCCACTACTCCCTTCTCTGCTTTCAATCCTCATTCTTTCCGTTTCTTCTTCTGCTGCCGCTTCTTCTTGAGAAACCTTCTTCTTTTTCTCCATCTCCTCCTCTATTTCCTTCAACTTCACCGCCTGTTCGTCTACAATCGCCTTCAACTTTGCTTGCTTCTCACACTCTTTCCTCTCCCTATTCTCTTTGACTAAGGCGGTCATCTTCTCTTGCTGCTCCTTGGTGTAGGGGCTAGTGTCTAACCCACTACGGGTCTCAACCATGGTGAAAAGTATATATATTACATATATATTACGTATAAAATATAAATTATATATTCTATCATATTACTATATTTATTGTATTATAAATATTAATTCAATATTTATTCTATATTAATTAATTAATTCAATTACTGAATAGATATCCATAATATAATGAAAACATGCACAACCGGATTAGAGGTTCCAACCCTCACCACGTAGACTCTGACCCCTGACAACAAACCTCTAGACTCAATCTAGGAACTCACAGAATCCGGACAGGGATCCTGTCAACGATGGTCTCTAGCCTAGACCTACACTATGGCTGTCATTACTAGACCTGTTGCTGATCAGGAGGCCTTTTAAGGAGATCCCCCAAACTTCGCAAGAATTATTTAACGTCGCAGACAGGACGACGTGATCAGCTTTGGTCTGGCCTGTTGCATCAGCCCACAACTCAACCTTTCGGGCCTACCGTGCCACACCAAGCAGCCTGCCGATCAGTACCGATCCTTGGGAGGGTTCGTGTCCCCCGGGACAGTCGAGTCGTCAGACACAGCCTTTAGCCTTACTAGGTCCGGTAGGGGTTTGGGTCAACAAGGCCCTCAACACTTAAGACTGCCTGGTGGGTCAGCCCACAACTGCTGTTCAAGCCCACCGTGCCACGCCCAATCCGCGTCCCGCCGGTCAGCACCGGTCCTTGGGAGGGTTAGGCCCCCCGGGACAGTGAGATTAGACACGGTATTAGCTCTACAAGGTCAGGTAGGGGTTTCGTCATCCAGACCCTATCCTTCATCCACAGAGTACTACCACTTAGGACAGAAGAGACTCAATGCAGAAATAATAGACAGGCTGACTTGACTCAGCAAGTACCAAGGGGTGTGTGCAAATCCATAGGGCAAGGGATAGGCTGAGGGCTTGGCGAGATGTTACCAACTCCAGCTTGGTCAAAGTCTTGGTCAACGCCTTGGTCAACGCCTTGGTCAACGGCCTTGGTCAACGCTGCTATAGCCTCCGGTCAACTCCGGTAATCGCCGGTCAACACCTCCGGTCAACCCTCCGGTCAGCTATGGCTGTCGGCTCTTCTTCCTCGCCAACCCTCTTCTTCTTCTTCACCTTCCTCGCCTCCTTTCACCCCGCTGTCTTCTTCTTCTCTTTTTTTTTTTTTTTTTTTTTTTTTATCGGCCTTCTCTTCACCTCTCGACTATGGCCGCTTTCTCTCCCTGCTCGGTCTCTCCCCCTCTGTCCGGTCTTTCTCCCTCCTTCACTACTCCGTGGTAATGCCCTGCGGCTATGGCCGCTTTCTTTCTCCTTCACGTGGACTGCACAACTCACTTCACAGGTAAGTGACAACCAAACTTGTATCGCTCATCTCTCTCTCTCTCTCCGCAACAATATCATCAGCGCAGCAGGTACGTAGTAACCCAATCTTGTATCGCTCAACCTTTCCTCTCTCTCTCTCTCTCACACACACACACTCTCTCTCTCTCTTGGTCTTCTTCTTCGTCGTGGTCTTCTTGCAGGTGCGCGGCGGCTTCTTCAACCTCAGGTCCGCTATGGCGGACTACAGCCTTCAACGGCCACCTCGGCTATGGCGCATCAGGCCCTGCACACGACGGCGCGCATGGAATAGCGGGTACCAGCTCCGATACCAATGCAATCAGACTCGTCTCATTCACGCTTTTCATGCATGTAAACAGCAGCGCAGCAAACAGGCGACCAGCACCCACTCAATACTCAGAGATATGGCCTCCAGATAAGAGTTCACTTTCAACTGGCTATGGTGACTTAGCACCCAATCAACTCACTGCTCACATACACTGGATCACCCTGGATATCCCACACACGTCACTCTGAACACTCACACATACACACACACACTTCACACCAACTACAGCTATGGCAGCTATGGCTGCCTCTACCCTATCGCTATGCTAACTCCTCCTCTCTCGCCCACTGCACCCTCCGGGCTCACTGCAGACCTCCTTGCACAAGTCGCTGTGGCAGCGCTTCCGCATGGCTCACGCAGGAATCAATGAAAGGCTG